TATCAACATTAACTTTTGGTCATTAATGTCACATCATCGATTACTTTCCTCCTTGTTCTTTTCATCGATCAATTAATGATTCCGAATTGGAACGTCTTTCTAAAGAGTATCGTGAGCTACGTAATGCGCATGGAAAATCTGATGGTGGAGATAAATGGATTGAGGAGGTTGACAGGTATTATGATATGATATGATAATTAACGTAGTTGATTGTTGAATAAAAAAATTGTAACTTTTTTATGTTAACGCCATGAAAAGAACGGTTTTTGTTCCGATCTTTATGTTTGATGTTTATTTATTTAATTATTTGGAAACTCTTTTCTTATATTCGCCTAACTATTAATAGTCGAGATGGTCGAAAATATACAATAATGAAGGTTGAATATTTTTACACAACAAATGTTTTCTCTCGTTATGATAATAATTCAATAATCATCATTATCATCACCAAAAAAAGAAATTAGGTGAAATCCTAGGAAAACCCGACACAGTGGCTGCAGAAATTGTCGCTCATCTTGGAGAACCTGATCAATTGACTACAAGTCTTAATCAGGCAGATCCTGTGGTAGCCTTGATGCCTGGTCCAGTAATTGGGAATCAACCTGGCGTAACAACAAGTGGTGCTCAGGAATATTATCTTGTGTATTTCTGGCGTGAGAAGGTTATGTATTGATGAATTGTCATTTTTGTTTCGTTGTTGATTGTTTGGATTCTTGTTTTTTATTTATTCAATTTAAATTTTTTTTTCTTATAGAATGATTATATGTACTTCAAGGTGAGGATTACTTAAGAATTCTTGCATTATATATTTATTTTCCACCAATTAATTAACGACACATATATTTATTTATATTCTAAAGATCGATGCTAACCGAGAAAAAGTCATTTCGCACGATTGGAAACATGCTGCCACTGAATCCAAATAACTTTATTTAGTACTCTGATAATATAAATAATAGTAAAAAAAAGGAACCAATTAATACATAATTGGGGTTTATGTTGTCATCCCCATAATCAGACAATAATTTTTTTGTCCTATTATCATCATTCACATCTATCGTGATACAAACAATCCTAAAACTATAATGGACTATTATTTTATGGCAATACTCGGCTTGGGTTTTTCTTTATAGTTCGTATTTAGATGTTCAATAAGTAACTATTTTTGAGGGTGAATTTTTTGTGAAAGGATAAATCAGGTAATGATTTCTTTCAATTAAGATTTCTCTCCATATAACATCAACATCATCAACATCATCAACATCATCATCATCATCATCATAATAACATTATTGATTAAAGCAAAAGAAAGCAAAAGCAAGCAATCAAGCAAAGAGAAAAATTAAGAAATCAGATTTAATGTTTACAAATATTATTATGACTTATACCTCATGAATAATAAGAATAATAATAAGAAGAGTACTAATTACTTTTTTTCTTCGTGATGATTATTGTTATATACTGAGCAATAACAAAAATCAACGCGAGAACAGTGAATCCGATTCTTTTTTTTGCGTTCATACGTACATTACATAATAAAATACATTTTTGGAGAGAGAGATATATATATACTATATATGATCGAGAGAGGTATGTATCATCAAATGAGAGAGAGAGCATACATAAACATAAGAGAGAATAAAGGATGATGCTGGTGATTGATTGACGTTGTCGATGATGACGATGGTAAAACACATGTTGTCGTATGAATGTATGCATGTATGCGTGTGCGCATTTACAAACAAACAGGAGGAAAAAAGAGGCATATATATATATAATAAACAAAGATTTTTCTGGCCAATGTGATGACGATACAAAGTATTTTCATTGTGTTGTGGCGGTAGTGATGATGGTGGGGGGTTTTTGCTTAGCGGAGAAAAAATGTTAGAGGAAAAAAGATAATTTTGATTGCTGCTGATATTAATACAAGTGAGTAAAACAAATAAGGAATGAAGATGAGAATGATGATTATCGTGAAAGATGATGTTGAAATTTTGTGTGCGATATTTTTTGTATATGATGATGGTGGTGTATAGACTACCATAAAAAAAGTCATCATCATAATTACAATAAAATAACGACAACCTAACATCCATTCATTCCGAATAATCATAACAATCAATCAATCGATCCTTATTGAAAACTAATTAATTACACAACACACAAGTTTCTTTTTAATTTCCCGCAAATAATAAAGAATAATAAAGAAAAAGAAGAAAAAGCAATAGTAAGTATATAAGAGATTTTTCTAATTACAAATTTTGACAACTTAACCAAAACAAAATTGATCTTTGTGCCATTCAGTAGATCTTACATGACATAGAAAGAAAATTTTAACAATAATTCAGATCACATTGGCCTCCAGTGTGTTTAATGATGATTGATGATTAAAGAAAATAGTAAAGAAAAAAAGAGAAGATAGAAACAATTTTTTAGAGAATAAAAAAGATGTCATTGTTCATTAATGGATGTTGATGTTGTGAATGATGATGATGTTGAAGCGAATATGAAAAAAAGAGCAAAAAGGACTATATGAAAAAATTTTTCCGACATCTTTTTATATTCAAACAAACTAATAAGATTATATTTTTTTGTGAATAGATTTTAATTATTTATGATTTGTAAAGGGGATGCACGTATTATGGAGGGGCCGCGTGGATCTTTTGGTGGCGACGCAAATTGCTAACCACCGAGAAATGACGGCCACATCCTTCCACCGGACATTTGAATGCTATTATTAATTAATTGATCGATGAAAAGAACAAGGAGGAAAGTAATCGATGATGTGACATTAATGACCAAAAGTTAATGTTGATA